GCTCATCAGATTGTTGTTCACAAATGGAAAAAAAAGTTTAGTCAAATACCTCGTTATACTACATATCATAACGAAAGGGGATTGTTATTATAAAACGAAATTTTCTCAGTTTTGATGAGTTGGTTTGGGTTATCGGGCAGAGATATTGCTTATACATTTTTTTTTCCGGCGTTAAACGGGCAGGTTTTGAATTTATCGGTAGAGATGATTACTTGATTCCTAAAGATACTTTATCCCTGAACAGAAAATATACGAAATCAGGTGATAGAGTTTTAAAATCTGGGAACATTCTTAAAGCTATGCCTTTTCATAAAATTTGACAAATACCATTGCCTTTAAAAATGTTATTTTAGCATAAGAAGTGATTTATTAAATGTGGTATGTTTAACTTCCTTAAAAATAAATGTATTAATGTAATTGTTTTCAAATTTTTGTTACATAAGAAATTTAATTTTGCATTATTTTAAAATACAGAATTTTACTATTATAATTTAATTTCCATGCTAAATTTGTGTTGGTTTTTTATTACCTGAAAGGAAGTTTTATTTTTTGAAAAAAGCTTAATAAAAACATTTGATCTCACTCATCTAGGTAAATATGATTTTTAAGTATCTTGAATCCCTATGAACAATTTGCTTGTAATGAAAGACGTAATAGAATTCAACTTGCGCTGTCATATATATTCAAGTCATAGTGTCAATGAATATGACATATATGTTTTAATTTAATTAGACTTATTTATGAAATTACTGTGATATTTTATGCAATTTTTGCATAAAATAAGAAAATTATTATAAAAATTTCCCGAAGACTGGATGTCAAATATCTCACAGAAATCAATCACTGTTTAAGATACTGGACACACTTTTCACCTGTAAAATAAATATCTGATCAGAATTTTGAAGCCAAGAAGCGAAACCTATTAAATAGTTCTATAGAAAGTCGCGTTGGATGGGTTTATAAACGAGCCTTTTATAGTCTAACAATAATTTATTAACAGGTTTAAGTTACACGCGGATATCACATATAATTTTAAGAACCTTACGGAGCAAGAGTCTGATACAACCTAACAAATCCATTACCTGTTTCTCTGGCTACTCGCCAGAGGGCACCCTCGTTGCTACTAGAGTGAGTCCACCATAGTTTATATTAAGAGGAGAATTTATATTAACAGGAACAGTTACAGTTCATATAATGTAAATAAACATGCAACTGATGAGTTTTCGGCTTCAAAAAGCTTTACCTTAGTCATCCATTTTTCCCGAAAAGCATTGATAAAAATACAGTTAATGTTCTGCACATGCTAAAATGTTCTGTCTAAATCGTGTTCAAAGGAATGTAAAGAACTCTCACAATTGTAACATTTCAGTCTGACTTTACAATGCTTGTAAATATATGATAATTTTTGATGCCGTGATTTTTCTCATATTTTGTTCAATGATTTTACTAATACGAATGTATGAACAAACAAAAAAAATCTGATGTGTACACCACATGACTTCTTTGTACGGAATATTAAATTATACGCATTTTTTCTTGCATTTTATTTAAACTTATTAGATTGAAATAAACCTACTTCGCCGACAGCGCATAAACCACAATAGAATAAATGCATTCTTTAAAATTCACTTTGTTTATCATAGCGACACTCTCGCGCTAGGTTTACTTAACAGTATTATATTTCATTCATATTATAATTCAGAATGCACAAAATGTATATCATTTAAAGAATTATCTAATTGTTGCCACATGTTCTATTCAAATACTATAATAAAGCTAGAACGATGTATAAAAGAAATTAAGCAAACAAAACAAAGCAGAAACAGTTTTTCACAGACGATTGACAGTATTTCTCATTTAATTAATTCAGTTCTCACTTCGCGAGAAGGCAAAAATACATAAAAACTCAAAATATCTATATTAAAAATTACGAAGTAAATCTCAAACGCTTATTTCCTCGAAAAATTCCAGAAAGGATTAAGCATGATTTAAATAATAAATGAAGACGTTATCTTTGTTGTTGCGAAGCTAAGTTTCTCTACATTGGCAACAAATCCACTAGTCTCCTGTTTCAAATGTAAACAAGCAATGGCCGCCATTAAAAACAGGCTTAGCGGCAATTAAACAACTTTAAAATTGTGATAATTCTAAAAATACTGCATACAGATTTACTAAAGGCATAAAAAATCCTTAACCGGAAGATAAAAAACAACATAATTCAATCATTTTTTAAAGCAAAAAATGTACAATTTACAAACATATAAGAGTAAAGAAACTGAGATCACTGAGCCGGGTAATAGAGTGGATATATATATATAAATATACTTATATACGTTTGGTGCTGCCGATTGCAACCAAAATACGAGGTGCACATCTACATGTTATAGCAGTCCTATATACAAAATTTCAACGTTCTGAGGCTACTCGTTTTTGAGTTATGCGAGATACGTACTCACGCACGAACGTACGCACGTACGTACATACGTTCGTACAGACGCCACGAAAAATTCTCTTCAGAATTAATTTTAAAGCAGTTTTATAATTTTTTTGAAGGAAAAGAGTATTTTACTCTGTCCTTACGTACAGATATGACTCAAAAACATCGTTAAATTGCATTCGATAGCGTTCAAAATGGATCTTTTCATTGAAATATGCTGCCTGAAACTTTTCGCGATTACAATACTTCCTTTTTACTTCGTATAAGGAAGTAAAAGTTCAAGTTCTGGATTATTTTAAACATTAGATTTTATATTATACTATTTCAAACATTATTAATAAATTATAATACGATTGTTGTAGCTCTCACATACAGCGAGGATAAGTCTGGCAACAGCTGCAGGAAGAAAAACATGGCAGTGCTGGAATGGCAACAGCGGATGATTTTCTATAGATTTTAATATTTTGATTTTGAGTCGACGTTTTCCTTTGCGTTACTATTGCGTTAAAACATTTGAGTTTTGGGTGAATGAAATGAATCCGCTGTCCCGCTGCGGATATTAGTAAAATATATTTAGAAAATTAGCTGCGTTGGAAAGGATGAAACCTTGTGTTTGAATTTGCGGTATTTTTCCTCCTAAAGTTGCGTCGAGTTCAGAATATTATGCCAGGCTTATTCACGCTGGTGCAGATAAGTTCAAATTTTGTTATGTTTTAGTGTATAACTTGCAAATATATGAATAGAATTCTATTAAATAAACATTTAAAATTCTGGAATAGTGTTTAAAATTTTAGATGTATTTTTAGATGATTTTAGATGTAGAATATGTCGGAGCCAGTGGCAGTCAGGTGTAAAGTAAAATTGTTTTTGCTCCACGACATAACAACGATGATAGGAAATATATAATTTTTTTAATTTTTTTTTTTAAATTTTTCGCAAAGATAAATAATTTCTATTAAAAGAATCAAGTATCCCTTGATATTAGAGAAATATGATTCCGTTTACCCCCCCCCAAGAGCTGAAGTATGGAACATTATAAACCGGCTGTAATGCTGTGTTTTAATATAAGATGAAACATTAATAATATTACACCTAAACCTACATTAATTTTGATATTTCATTCCACGATTCTGTTTCCTAAACAACTAAAACTTTTCCTAAAACAATCAAGCTTTACTTATGTATAAAATATGGTCATGAAAACATCACGGAAAAATATGGCCGCCACATCACAATATGGCCACATCGCAATATGATCACAATATGGCCGCCGAAAACCTCACGGCAAAAACATCGCTAACGAAAACGTCGCGGGGAAAACAATGCAAGGTGAAGCGTCGTGGTACAAAATAGAATGAGAGAAAATAAAGCAGAGAGAAAACATCGCGGTTCTAAAACATCATGGTATACAAAATATCGTGGTTGAAAATAAAGCGTTTCAAGAAATTCGCAGTTTAAAAAAATCGTCGTCGAAAATATCATGGTAAAAAATAAGTTAACTACAAATCATGGCATGACGATAACATCGCAGACATGGGTTTTTAAGACATGCTTTAATAATTGTATAAGAATAATCGCATAATGATTTGTGAGCACAAGACGGAAAGAAGGATAATTTTTATTATATTTTTATTAACTAATAAATATTTGCTGAAAATGTAATATGGAAACTTAAGCATAGAAACTTAACGCAACTAATAGCACTTAATAGAATTTTAAATTAACATAGGATTAATAAATTATATTTTATAAGATAGTTATAAATAACAATAATTTATATTTTTTACGAAAATTATTGCATTAATAAATTATTTTTTATAAAGTTTCACTGGTAATTTTTCATGTAAAAGAAAAAGAAGATAAGTAACGGCATGCCCTTATCTATAAAAAATTGCTAAGTTAATTATGAGGTTATTTTCTTCACTTTTGTTGATCTGATACTCTTATAGTGAAGATTATTTCTTGTTTGTTTAAATTTCTTGTTTCATTTTTTATAAATTTATTAGGTACTAAAAATATGAAGAAAAAATTATCTTTCTTTCCATCTTGCACTCACAAATCATTATGCTAATATCCATTCACAGTTATTAAAGCCGGAAAAACGCATGTCTGCCATGTTATCGTCATGCTATGATTTGTAGGTTCTTTATTTTTACCACGATTTTACCAGCGTTTTTAGATATTTTCGACGACGATGTTTTCGAAACTGACGAAATTTTTGAACCGCTTCGTTGTTCAACCACGATGTGTTTAGAGCTGCGATGTTTTTCTCTTTGCTTTATTTTCTTCCACAAAGTTTTGTACCACGACGTTTTCTCCTTGCGTTGTTCTCTCCGCAACGTTTTCGTCGACGAGGTTTTCGGTTGTAACCTTAAAATATTATTTTATTACGCTGTAACCTTTCGGCTGTAACCTTAAAATATTATTTATTTATTATTTAGCTTTATTTAGTTATATATTCTGACATAAAAGGAAATAATCCATATGCTTCGATTGGGTTTTAACATAACTGAAGAAAACCTACTCTGCATTGTTTTAAGTAGCTCCATATTTCTTTTCACAGTTGCGACTGTCCAGATGGCAACGTGTGCGTGTTTGAGAGGGATATGCTAGACGGATGTGCAGGAGATGAAAACTGCATGCATTACGTGGACTCTGCTTCAAGAAGGAATCGATCTCTCAGCCGATATGTGTGCAGAAAAAGAATAAATGTGAATAATTATAGCAAATTTTTCGTGGAACAAGTACAATACATTATTTCTGAAATGCGTCTCCTCAGATACGAGAGAAAGTACATCTCTACATTAACCAGAAAGCTCGTACGTCGAAGAAATGACAGAGTTCCAGCTGACACAATTGAAAAAGAAATAGCTTATCTAGATAATATTTTACCTTACTTCAATACTCATGTTGCCTACCTCGAGAAAATAGCAGCTGGCATGCAAAATTTGAAAGTCCCTCCAGAGGGTACATTTGCTTACAGTGAAATTAATAGTCTCAACAAAACTATTCAAAAAATCGTTTACAGAACGGAAAGAATTATCTGGTCCCACAGCCGATCCCTTCGAAAAAGACAACGAAAGAAGCTCAAGGCAAGAACGAAAGGATAACTTACCCGTTCTTCTTATAATGTTTTCACCGAAACATGAATGATAACAACTCACTCTTTCAATGTAAACTTTTGATTAGATGTACTCACTTAATGTAAATCGGGATTCTTGCGTCTAATACTAAGTTCTCTTTCAATAAATTATTCTGTTCACTTAGGTTTTCCCCTTTTAATATACTTAATTAATCACCACACTGCGATTATGCAGATGAATTCTACACTTAAAATTTATTTTAGGTATTTAGGCTATAAATCTGTAAATTTTTCTTCTTAGTTGGAAAGAATTTCAGCAAGGGTTCCCTCGATAGTTCACAAACGAAACCAACTGAATGTAATTTAGCATGACTGTATAACTGTATAAAATCATCCACATTTATTCTACACGGCAAAAATCTTTGCTTTGTAATAACCATGTGACACTATGAGTCCTAAATGTTTTTTTTTTTTTTTTTTTTTTTTTTTTTTTTTTTGTTGTAAACAAGAAGACGTTAAAAATGTGCAGTGCTCTCGCCTGGACCCGAACCCCGGACTTCTCGAAAACGCGTCGAATATGCTTCTAATTACACCTCGAAGGTACGTGGAAAGGAGGGAGAAAATACCTTATTGCTCCCCATTTTAAAGGTTGACAGGGAATTAGAAAAGGCAATCGCCAAATCGGAGGGTGACGAATCATCGTCCACCACCTTTTAGGTCGGGCATCATTCAAGGTTCATTAGGTTTTTTTATGCTAGAGCCGTGAAAAATGCGCAATGTCTTAACCGGGACTTGAACTCTGGACCTCTCGCATATACATCGGTATACTTCCAATTACAATACAAAGGTATGCGAAAATGAGGGAGAAAATGCCTCGTAACATATAATTTTCTGAGGTAGGAAAATATGTTGAAGTCTTATACAGCTCTGATATGAATTTAAAAGATATAATTATCTTTCTGTTGTTGAAGTATATATTGATCGATATGATGAGCATCTTGTAGATAAAAAAATTCTCATCAGTAGGTTCTGTGTTCAACTATGCAATATGACATATGCGTAGCTATTGCTTTTAAGATGATCAAACAATAAAAAACTGAAAAATGAAAAGGAGAGATTTTGTCTATCATATATCCTCACAAACGAAAATTATGTGGTTTTAAAAGAAAGGAATAAGATGACCAAGAAAAGTGAAATGAATGTCTAAATAAATTAACAACACCATTTTGTTTTTAAACTTCAGTTCTATAAATAACGTAATTTTATCCTATTTGATTCCCTTGGGGTATACAGAAGAATTCTAAAGCAGAAATGAGGCATACTGATTTATTATTTTTCTTCAACAGCCGCTTGCAAGCCCAGCCGACTAAAATGGTTATATTAAAAAAAAATAATATATCATGATTGAGTGCAGCGGATATTTGGTGGATGGAGGTGGGTTATGTCTTCAAAGGCAGAATGCAGTGCATTTTTTTAAAAAATTACATCAAGTTAAAATGTCGAATCAGAGTGTAAATGGGTCTGTAATATCTGTCACATATGCCGCGTGATGTAGGTGGCAGTTCGAAACGGTTAATGTTTAAGTTCCGTCGATGTTCATTTTATCATCGGACACAATTTGAAGAATAACACAGAGAGGTGACCATGTGAATTTATCTTACGTCTCTATATTCGCTAAGCCAGATCTTTTCCGATGATAGTAATGTAGGCTTCTGTATCGATGGTCATTCTGCAGAGAACTCCATTGATATGTCCCATGATGAAAAGTCCATTTACTGTCGCCACTCACTGCAGAAACCTGAGGCGCTTTAAAATTGAGCTTTTCATTATGTAGCAAATTCCGTTCTTCAAGATGGACATTAATTTGTTTCCTGCATTCTTATTGTGCAGTGGTCTTATTCTTCGCCCCTTATGTGGCCGCCTTCACCACGTAGGTCCCAAGCACTTTAAGATCGGTTTGTTGCCGCTCTTACTGTGGCATGGATTCGGACACTAAAATCCTTTTTGGATCTTTAACATCCGCCGTTTCGCAGGGCTGTTTGCATCTCAGGATCCCGGACACCATCGGTGAAGTACTGCAAGGACAGGACTTCGCTTGTTTCTATTCGCAATCGTAAAAAACGAGATGAGACAGTTTTTCACCATCCGCGAAGAGTTCCTGCAGTCTTTCTGTGGTCCCCCCCCCCGGTATTGACTCAGGCGAACGCCTGGGAAGTACTGGTTAGGATCTGTACCTAGGCAGTCTCACCCACGAGGGTATATAATTTGACTTCATAGGACTAGCGCCCGAGTATTGTACTCAGGTTGGTTCAAGCCTTGGCAGGGACCGTACTGGTACTGTCGTATCTGTTCCTCCGGCTGCGGTGGAGCTATGTCGGAGATCGGCGACTAAGTCCCCGGGAGTTTGATCCCATTCCGTTCTCGTGGTGGGGACTGACAGAGTGGACAGATCACCCACTAACAATGGAATTTTTGCAGAGAGAGTGGTGCCCGGAGGCAAGATGACATAGTTTTTGAATTTGCAACGATTTAGTTCTGCCCAATGCTTTGTAAAAGCTGGCCGGGGACCTGGGGTTAGCGCCCGCGAGGACGAGGTCCCACGGACGACGGATATTCCAAACTCTGTATGGGTCCCGTAGAATAAGGACCTGAGTCAGAGGTCCTTCGTCTGGTGTGCCTGTGTCAGTCTTTCTGTTGTGTTTAGTTGACGAGATTTCAGCTTAACAACTAAAACTTTTCCTAAAACATCCGAGCTTTAGTTATGTATAAAATACTATTGTATTACGTATAAGCTTTATTTAGTTGTGTATATTCTAACATAAAGTGAAATAATCCGTATGCTTGGTTTAGATTTTCACATTACTGAAGAAAACCTACTATGCATTGTTTTAAGTACATCCATATTTCTTTTCACAGCTGCGACTTTCCAAAAGGCAATGAGTGTGCGTTTCAGAGGGAAATGCTAGACGAGAAGATTGGTTTCGTCTCTTAAACATTTCTCGCTAAATCGTAGCTTCACCGTGTCGCGAGAAGTCTAGTCTTTGGTTTTCGTCAAAATTCGAAGGCTATTCCTTGCGTCTGCTCTCAGAAAAGCGGCAAGGTGCGGGCTTTAGTTTCGTAATCCCATGCATTTGTTTCCGCCATCATAGAGAGTTAAGTTTTACACATTTGCCAAGAGGTGTTTTCGTCATACGTAAATAAGTTTAGAAAGGAGATCAAGGAGACAGCGACAGGAATTTAAAGCCGTCAGGATTGCTTGCAGCTGTCTGTACGAATTCGTTCAAACTCTCAACATCTTTGGCGACTGCAGAATCTGTGTCATCAATTTTATTGTTCTGGAGCGAAAACTCTTTCGTCGATTTGTTCACGTTATTTCCAACCTTATTCGTTCTGTCCTACATAGATTCGAATTTGTTTTCTATTATGGAAGTAATTTATCTTTTCATTTCGTGTTACCTTGCTTTAGTCTTTCCTTGACCCACATTTGTTTCTTCTTTATGACTTGAGTACCGCCTCCATCTTTCTCTGACCCACTTTCGTTTCTTCTGCAACTGTCTTGATGAACCCTTTCATACGTTTTTGGCCGGTTTACATCTTTTCTTGCAGTGCAACAAAAGCTGTCGTCAGTTATCTAAACTGCTCATACATCACTCTTTTCACCGGCATTCAATTCCACTTTTGGCACCAAGAACAGTTACGTGCGTACGGATTCGTAACGGATTGAACCTATGATAGCTTAATAAAATTTATAGTTTAACAAATAATTGTCCTTCACAATTCTGGAACTTCTCACTCAAAAGACTCGTACAGCTCACTATGACAAAGCGCAATCAGTAGTTACCACTTTAAACTACTAAGGATGTTGAATGCAACGCAATGCAAAGCACATCTAAAAGTGACGCTCGCACGGAGATCTCTGCATACTCTGAACTCAAGTGAGATCTGATGTTCTGTCTGGTCTTATATAATTTTCCGTCATTCACCGACAAATGTCCAGTACCTTCATTTTCTCTAATTTCTAATTTTATTTCTTCAATTTCTTATCTTAAGTTGCTGAAAGGCATACTCAGTTGCACAGGGCTGGACACTGTTACAGTTACATAGCGATCGAACCAGTTACTGGAATAAGACCAAAATACCGCCAAATGGTGTCAAGCTCGGCGGCTTTTGGCGGTTTCTAAGTTTGGCGAGATGGCCATTTTACGTTTTCTCGAAGCTTATTAAACGGTCAAAGTCTGTAAAGAACCTTTCTTCAAGAAAAATATCTAAATAATTTTCTCCCGATAGCGGTATAAATTTCTCTGAGTTGGACTACATGTTTTGTTAAAAAATATGGTACCAGCTGTCCATCTCGTATAAACACGGCTGCTATTGTAATTTCAGATGCATCTACGGCGAATTCTACTATACCGTGAGCCTCAGGAAATTTCAAGACGGGAGCTAGAATTAGTGCTGCTTTAAGTTTTCTAAATGTCGTGTTTGCTTTTGCCAACCAAGTGAATAGTTTCCCTTTTTAATTTAATAAGTATTCTAATACGTGAACAAAATATTTATAGAAAGCTGTATAATAGGTGCACACATGCATGAAAACGATGCCAAATTTTTCACCGTATTAGGTGGTGGATGATTTTTGATGGCATCAGTTTTAGAATATTCCGTTTCGATTCCCCCTCAGATATCTTATAACTATGAAGTGTTGAACTATTGATGTTCAGTAGTCTGGATTTGAAAATTACCCAGACTGCATTATTGGCTTTATTTGTCTTATTTTTTTTACCATTGATGGGGGACCTTGTATAAGAGAGAAAATGTTTGCTATTGCAGGGAATAAAATGCAGGACAAACACCGCAGATTTGTAGATTCACTACGTCGAAAGAAGGTTTTGTAAATAATCTATAATTTTATTTAATGTATATATCCACAAGCTTTGTCGAAACGTATTTGCTTAAACCGAATTTTAAGATATTTAATTGGGACAAGCTGCGGTACATTTTATGTTATTAATAAATACAATATGTATAAATTTCATACGGGGTCTTAATTTCTGCATTAAAACATTTGTGTACAAGATTGATAAGATTTTTGATTAATTTCCTTAAAATTTTCAGTCTTTGAAATATTGTTAATGACTTTCTTTCTTTCCACCGACAACGAGGCA